CAAATTTTTTCCAAAGCGTGACAGGTTTTTTTCCAAGTATTTCCTTAACAGGGATCGGTTGGTTGGTTTTATGGTCTAGCTCACAGAGTTCAGTCTCAGTCTAGTCCTCCGTGGCTATCTGTGTGTGTTGCAAAACCATTGCACCTGTTATCTTGAACAGGGATCTGTGCTGGTAAGATGTCCAGTCAAAAGCAGAGGGCTTGCAAGTTTGGCTTCAGGGCTTGATAGAGCACAGGGAAGTGCTCAGAGAGCTGGAGAGTACGGTTTCTGGTTCTGGCTACTGCTGTCCTTCTCCTGTCCTGCCCCCTGAGGTGCTCTGCAGTTCTTTGGGAACAAGTCAGAGTACACATCTCAACGCACAGCGCATTAGCTCAAGAGCTGTGCAAAACTTCCAGAGTGAGCCTCGAGGATGTGTGAAGCCTGATCTGGGGATCATACTTAACTCAAAACAGATCAGTTTAACCTGAACACTTTTCTAGACACGCAGGCTTTTCAACTGAAGTGGAGGTTATGGACTTCCCTTTCTGAGGGTAGAGCTCTCTCTGGACTGCGGGTCAAATCTGAGCCCACACTACCATCCTAAAGACTTTGTAACCAGGCAGGCAAGGATTTCCCTCATAGTGATGAATGCCACAGAAGCATATAAATATAAAGGCACTGTTATCTTTCTTGTTGCTAAGTACCCCCTAGTCAGAGAGAGCTCTTAGCAGCTGTCAGAACTGCTGCACTATAATTTAAAGTGAACTGTAAATCCCTGAGATGGATGAAGGTATCAAGATGAATGATCTTGCAATGGTCAGGAGAGAGGCTGCTGGTGATTTCAATGACTACGTTTGTCAGTAGGGTGGAAGATGACAATGCAGATTGAAAGGGTGATGGCAAAGAGGATCAGAAGGACACACCAAAGGCTAAAGGACAGGTGCTATAAAACATTCTCCAGCATGCAATGTTGTATTTTTTTCAGCCTCATTCTGACTGGGAGATCCAGCAGCCCTAGGAAAAAAAGTATTCCATATTGCTTGCAAGCAAGCAGGATATCATCCTTGTAGAGAGTGAAGGATAGTGTTCTCCTGTCTTCCATTTTTTCTTCTGTGTCTCTGCGTTGCCAGCCTTTCTTCTTTTTTTCTGGTTTTCTGTGGAAGAAAGTCAGCTGGGCTAAACAAGCAACTGGCCTCTGGTCGGTAAGTTAATGATCCGACAATTATCACAGGACAGCTCAGAAAGACCTGTTGTTCAGTTGTCATCATGGCAAATACAAACTCTCCAAAATGCAAAGAGGAAGGTGCTAGCAATTCTCCAAAATACAAAGAAGGCGGCTTGCAGTGTTCTTGCCATTTGTTTTTGCTTTAATTTGTGTTTAGGAATGAAAATGTTTGTCACACCTCTGAAAACAGGAACACAGTTTGCACAAGCCAGATCCACCACTAAGGTGGCACTGTGAGACGCCTACTCAATCCAACCACATTTAGTGGGGTGCCAGTGTAGAAACAGCCATACCGGATTCTACCCGGAGTTTGTAGAGCTCACCTTTATCTTTGATACTGTCTGGGTGCTTTGAAGAAGCATGTAAGAAATCTTAAGGAGTGGAAACCCATGGAGTAATCTGCTCACAGGGGATTCTTACTTTCTAACCTGCACCAAAAAAACCCTGTACTCTGAAGGTTTATTTATCTCCTTGGGTTTCTTCTTAAAAGCCAGAAAAATCCTATGCTACTTGATATAGAATTTTCTGTTACTGAAATGAAAATCTGACCTTTCAGAACCCACAGTTTTGAGCACCAGTAACGTTTGGTGGCAATGGATTTCAGAGGAAATTTATACCTGATCTTTTGAGCAGAATATCTGCATATGAGGGAAGACTAAGCCTGATTGCTTCCTGACACTTCTCTTGGTCAGAACTTCTGAGTCTAAATTTATCAAAGGATCACTTTATCACTGCCGCCTTCAATTTCTGATCCACTTCCAAAATCGGACTTTGGGGAACTACACTAAGACCTGCTGGAAGAAGCAGGGTCCTGGCCCTCTTGTGAGGGATGCCCATGCAAATTAATAGCACGGCCCTTGTCAGTCCTTAGTGCCTGGCTTCATCAGGATTCCAAACCACGTGCATCTCAAATAATGCTAAACTAGATGAACTGGAAGCCACCGAGAGATAACTGTGCTATATTTCAGTTTATTAACCATCCAAGCCCACTTTCAACCTCAGTAAAGGCAAATTATAATTGAAAAGATCTCAGTAGAAACATATTCTGCTTTCACAGTCTATGGACATGCATGTTTAAGCTATCATGCCATGACACTGTGCTATTTGATTTGTGTTTTTACTGATGCTTTGACTGAGTAGTTTGTTGCAATGTACTGCTAAATGGAGGAAAAATCAGAAACTGCATCAGACAACCACTCTGTATTTCATTCTAGAAAATAGCTGGCAATTATAATTACTCACCATGTTTCTGGCTCAGAATAAAAGTGGCATTGCACAAAAACCACACTGAACATTCATCGTGATTAGAAAATGCTCCATACCTTGGAGTGCAGTGGAGACATAAGAATAATTTTAAATGCAAATGAAATTGTGGGGGTAGCAAAGAGAACAGATAAAAGACAGTAAAACAAAGCCTTTCACTTTCCTCAAATTAGCAGCCTAATGTAGTATAAAAAAAAGCAGTTCTACTCAGATCTGTGCTAAGAGCTTTCATTTCATCATAATATAAAACAGCAGATCCGTCACCTTTCTCTATTCAGTACTCTTGATTTCGAGGTTGAAGTGAAAATTAGAAGCTGTTCATTCTGGCTCACAGACTGGGTTGCATTTGCTTAGTCTTATTCCATGACAGTAGGATGGAAAGAGGTCAGTAACACTGGTAAGTACTTATCTCCTGTATCTGATTTTCTTTATTTATTTTTAAAATCTTTCACAGTGCTTTGGCTTTTTATCACTGTTATTTCCTGAAAAAAGCTACATCTTGTATTTTCTAAAAGGCTGTATCTTAAGCAGAAACGCAATGATTCCTCGAGAATGCTTGTATCAGATGTTAGAGCTCCTTCAAGAATGAATGAATGAATTAAAGTAGGAATTCTGTAATAGGAAAGGTTTCTGGATAATCTATATATTTCGTAGCATCACTAGAACATTTTGTGTGTTGCTTTTTCTGTCTGCCTTGTCCAACAAGCAGTACCAGATAAGAAATGAATCTCTTCAAGATGTTTTTTGCGTTACATTCATAGCAAAACATTTAACAATCTCATTACCCTTGCAGTAAATGATGGAGAAAGTAGGTATTTTACTTACTGAAAGCAAATTATTAGACAAAACATGATGTTATGGTTAATCATTATGAAACACTGAAAAATATCTCAGAATATGAGATGCAACAAGGAAGATCAGAGTGAAAAACAAATTCTTAAGGAAACTTGATGTAGATTTTTTTTTCCCCTTGGGAAAGTTTTTATCAAATCAAAACCAGGGGCTTAATTTTTCAGTATGAAGGGTGAGGGGGAGTGGGGGAGATGATCGTAGTGTCACCTCCTGTTGCTAAGTAACAACATCTCCTGGCCGTTTTTATCTGATAAAGGAAGTCCAGTTGACGTTATGCATTATTCATCAGAGTTCCAATCAAACAATCAAAATTGTTTGCTTACACTGGGGACATTTAGTAAGATCAAAGAAACCCTCCTTGAAACTACCGGAGCTTACACCACTGCCCGGCAGCTCTCGATACTCTGCAGTAAGTATCGTTTCTGGTTTGGGAGTGCTCCAGGAAAGTGAATTGCTGAGGAATTTTAAAAGTTTTCTCGTCAGAATAGGCTTCTGAATTTTAGAAAGGACTGCATGTTGATCGATGAAAACTGAATCGAAGGAAAAAGGGAAAGCTTTGGAACACTGGTTTCCTGATTTTTGCCAACATAATTGAAGGAATTGCTTGAAGCAAGGGTCGGACTCCTTGCCCCAAACCTTTCTGTTAGGTTTGCATGGAAAAGGACTAGAGGTATTTTTGTCTGTCTGTCTGGAAATAAACGTTGCGCAGAGCTGTTTGTATGCTTATGATTATATGCCGTAGCTAACTGAGGTGTGGAGGAGAGAACCGGACTGTGTATTTTCTGCAAATCCTGTTTTTTAATGTGAGTTGTTCAGAGTAGAAGAAAATGCAGAAGGTAGCAAGAAGGCTGGAGAAGGGTCATGATAATGTGCATAATCCTGGGAACTCTGCCCGGCAGAGGCAAACCTGATTCAATGTACATCTTAGACAGTTGTAATCTAGGCTCTAGACAGATCCGAGGTTCGGAAGAATGACAAAAATATAAACTTCAGCGAAGAAGCACTGCTAGGAATAGTCTACCATTTCTTAATGATCACTTTTATCACATCTTTTAAAACTGATGGTGGGATGTTCTGTTGCTACTTCTGGTCAGTAAGAGGGGACAGGGAAAGCAAGGCTGGCCTCTGGTCATTTAGGTGGAATGAAATATCCAGAATACTGCATCTTCCTTTCTAGTCCAGTGTTTTGGCATAAGCGGCACAAATGCTATTTTTAATGTAGTCTGTTACAATAGCGGCTACTCAGAGGTGCTGGCTGTGGACCTGGCTAAGGGAGGTCCCTGCCCCAAGCCTTTCTGATCTTCTTTTTAAGAGCAAATATAACAGGCAGGTGAATCTAACTATGTCATGTAAGAAATGGAGATTGTGGCTAAAATAAAGGTGATTGTACTAGAAAGGTACTAGGAATATTGCTACTACTGCACTAGTACTGTTCTTTTATGTATTTAGGCAAGGTTTTAAACCAAAATAGAAAAGGATACTTATGAAGTTCTATGAATAGTGATTTGAAAATTCTTTGACCCTAATATGTCATATGAAGTACTTCAATGACTGCCTACACAATTCCTTCCACAAAGAAAGTCACCAGCTTTTTTCTGTCTGACATCTCTGTAATCTTTCCCAGGAATCTGACTGATCATCCATACCGGAATATTGTACACAAACATAAAGTTCCTTCAAAATGGACTACTTTCTGGATGTCGAGTCTGCTCATAGACTGTTTTACAGTCAAGGAGCTCAAGGTAAGAAACTCCGGTACCGATGCAGAAAATTACTATTTGAACTGTACAATAAAGACGTATAGGGCCGGACAAGGGCCAGCCCTCGTGACTGACCTACTGAAGTGTACAGAGGCCACAGGGAAAGGCCTTCAAAATGCAGGGGGTGTGAAAGGGATTACAAGAAGAGTAACGATAGGGTTGATGTGCCCTCTCAGAGGACAGGGAAAAGCTATGAGAGCTGTTGGGTGCACAGCAAGAGCAAAAGGAACGGCCAAGATCCAGCCCCTGGTGTTGCAGAACCGAAATGGACGAGCAGAGGGGACAGCAATGGCGCGCTGCTTGCCGTGTAAGCCTGTGCTGTCCTTTCCCTTCCTCCTTGCTTATCGATGCTGTCATGATCATAATGTGGTGTTATTCAGTGCTGCAGGAATAACTGGTTTGGGAAAGCCCTGAGGCAGTCCAGCACGCTGTATGCAAACAGCAGGCTCTCGCGGGTCTGCATCCTTCCCTGTGAAATTCAGGTCCCCACCGAGCAGCAGCAGTGTGAGAGGGAGAAAGAGTAATCAAGCTGCTTTGCTTTAATGTAGTTGAGACTTGTTCATGACAAAGATGATATTTTTGGTAAAGTCAGTTCACATTTTTCTCACCAGTTCTATTTTCGGAGAAAACTTGCAATTTCAGAGAGAAGGGGTTTTTTTGTTCCTTAAACTTTAAACACCGTATTGAATTGAAGAAAACTGTAAGGATCAACTAGCTCTATCAGCCTTTTTTGGTTTTACATACTGCCTGTTTTCTGAAAATGAGATCCAGATTTTTTCCACCATTAATTTCATCAATTCCTTATCAAATTCAAAGTCTGGCCAACAGAGTTCTGCCTTCCCTCTGGAGGTCATTCTCCCAGAGCAAGACCTAATCCACCCGGGGGATGCCACCGTCCCAAGATACACAGGGGTCAGTACCAACTTTAACCTTTGGCTCAGCTGAGGTGCTGCTGCCTAACACGTGCTGCATTGCCCAGATGCTGCCCCAGTTGTGATACATTTTCATGTCTACAAGTCACAGAAAACCTTTCCTGTCACAACACAGCCGTCTGCATTGAACAACAGAAACAAATGCTAAGCACCTCAAAATCAGAGAAAAATCAGCTAAGGGCAATGACTGATTTTCTGGCTTTTTCTCCATCTCTAAAATGCAATGGACACCTGAGCATTGCTACAGAAGTAATATTAAAATAAGCTCTTCAATATCGCTATGAGAACAAACCCCTTGCTATTCCATAGAAACTGAAATTCAGGAACCTACAGCTTAACGCTTTACAAGCTGTGGCAATTTGTCAACAACATCCCTGTGCACTGCAAGGTACAGAAGGGACTATGGAAGAAGGAATATGTATTCATGCAATGCAAGTCTATTACAGTAATGTGCACAGGGTGACCAATAAGGGTTGCACAGGCAACCTTCACTGTATTTCCAGGAGGGCAAGGGAAAAAAAACATTATCTTACCCATACTTGGAGAAATTATATTGTTAGCACATATAGAAATGCTTGTGCTGAGCAGTTAGATGCATGACTGAAATTTTAACCTTAGCACCTGGTTAATTCGTTGTTTTAATGCAATTCTTTTGCTTTTTTAAAATGCAAAATGAAGAAAAAAATCCGTCATGCAGAACTGTATTCCTTGATACAAAAGTCATCAGCAGGGCGTTGACCTTTACATCTGTCATGTGGGCTTCTATCCTTTGGCCGAAACAAGTACGAACCAGCACTGAGACTTGGGGATATTTTGTCCTTCTGCTTGCGAACATTTTATGAAAGACGCCAACAACACGCTTCCACTGTTCACCACAGCATAGTAGAGAAGCTCCCAAACCCTAATTACCTCCACAACTGGAAACAGTACATTGCTTCAAGCCATGACGTGCTTATGATCTGCCCCTTTCAACTCTTCACCCTTCTCTTTCCTCCTTTTACTGCATTTTCCCCAGCTCCTGTCCTTCACATCGCTAACCTCACACACTTGTGAGACCTCTTCCCCAAATTCTAGTACTCTCCCCTCTCTTCATCTCTCTGTGTTTAAGGTCAGCTGCTTTCCAACAAGCTGGGTGCCAACAGGGAAATCGCTCTGCACACAGAAGTGACAATGCTTCTGCTCTACATTCTCAAATGCTGCAACACAGCAGCCCCTGGCAACAGGAGAGGTGCCTGAGGGCAAGGATGGATGGACAACCCCACTAGCAATAGGTGTGAGAGACTAAATGTGGCCTGTGCAGAGAGAAGTTTTGGGAACCTTTCACTGTCTGAGGTAGCACTGAGCATCTCTGAGGTGACGGTGGTGTCTTCAGCAGGCCAAACAATAAATCTCTGGAAGAGTTTCATCATCGAGGTTTCCTGTAGCAAATGCCTTTATCACCATCCTTAGCCCCAAACTTCTTAATGGTAGCATCTCCTTCCTCTGAGCTATCTTACCCCCCGTAGACACCAAGGAACTCAACCCTATGAAGCATGTGTTGATGCTGCCCGTATAGCTCTGATAACTCTTGTCGTCCTTGTACCTTGTGCCAAATTTTAAGGCTGTCTTCCACAGAACAGGCATTTCTCTATGAGATAATGGCATGATTTCTCCAAACATGAGCAAACCCAATATATTTCTTCCCTTATTTGCCTTCTGAGAAACAGTTAAACTGTGTTAGCTATAACTTTCTGAAAAAAAAAATACAAAACACAAAAAAAAATACAAACCCAAAAGAAATACACTGATGTGAGGCACCCATCCGCCATGAATGGCATAGCTCAAGTAGCTAGTTTGGAACTGAATAAAAGGTCTGCAAGAAAGCATTATCACCAGATCTACCTTATGGGACTGCAAGTAACTATTTGATGTTAATATAATAACATGATGCTATTGGCAAATCATGCTATCAAACAGTATGTGTATAGGCATTAAAACTGCATTATGACAGAATTGAGTGAAAGAAGACTACAGGATTCTGCCGTTTAATTAGAAACAACATCAGAACACATTATATGTATTATTATTACTTCAGTTATATTATTCGTTATTGCATTACAAAATGCTCTGTTTACAGACTGTAGAATGGGGGTTTATGACCCACTTACTCTTTCTGTGAGATTTGAAGATTCCTGCCTTTTAATCCTTTGATCCTCCAGATCAAGAAAAAAACTCCTTTGCAATGTTTTCACAGTAATGATATGACAATGTTGCAAATGGCAGCTGTAAAGCACTCATTCTCATCTGTACCCACTCCTTGTGGGTGGAAGAGAAGGGAAGGAATAGGACTGCAAAAATGTTGGGAAGGAACTCAAAGAGCTACGATGCCATTGCCAGCAGATGACATCAAATCCCAGCCGACCTTAGGTCTTGAGTAGTTGAACCTAGGATGCTCTGACCTCACCAAACAGACTGAAACAGGGTTTTGGCCCCCAGCAACTAACCAGTTCTCTATCCCTTGCTGCCTGCACTAACGCCCCCACCTCATCTCTACTCCTGCAGAAAGCTGCAGAACTGCCTTTGCTGCTGTAGGGTAGTAGGAGAGAGGTGTTACCTTATCAGTTGCCTCCTCTCCCATCCTCTCCTGCAGAAGCAGCCATCACTTCACTCCCGTGGGCTGAGCGCAGAACAGAGGATGTTTGGCCATTCGGGCTGCATCTACTGTTCAAACAGCTGTTCCCTGTTTCCTCCAAGGAAAGTGAAGCAGAAGGGATGGAAAAGTCACAAAAGCTGGATCTGACAGTAGGATTAGCTAGATTTAGAAAACTTGGTAAATGAAGCCAGCTGGCTGTAGTCTTCAGATACCAGCCAGAAATATCCTAAGCTCTGCAGCCCTCCCTGACTGTCTCTTCTGCAGCCGTATGTTGGGATCTAGGAGATGGGGGGTGTCCTTGCCAAGTGCGTAATGCCTGGTGACGCATCTGCAAATCAGAAGCAGGAAAGAAGGGACTGTGATCCCTTGCATCTAGCCGCTTGCCCTAGGAAAGTCTGAATCTGAAATCTAAGCGTGGAGCTGGACTTTAATTTTCAAAACAGTCTTTCCCTTTGAGGTGTGTGGAAGATATTAGTCATTCTTGGATGTAAATGTATTCTAAATACATATCTACCACGGCTTTCAGCCATGAGAGCTAAAAGTATTTAATGGGGTCTGGAATAGGATTCAGCTCACTTATTCCTTAGGTGTCCTCAGGGAAGATGTGTCCACCTAAGACTTCTGACTAGCCTGGCATGTATTAGTGGAGAGAAACAGTCATTTTAAGAGCAGGGTTCACCTAATCTCAGACATCTTCCTTGGGATACTATAAATCATGCTTTATTCTCTCTACTGATTATGAAAGCCTGGACCACTAACTTGGGTGAAAGATGCCTGTGCTATTGGCATTTGTTTGCATAGAGGAATCGTGTGCTGACAGGCAAGACAGGACCTAACTCATGAAAGGGAGTAACCTCCCCAAAACAAGTCAAATTGCAATCCAAAGCTGTAAATGTGCAGATCCCATCTCGGCTGTAGCCTACTTTGGAGAGACGTTAGCTTTGATCTTGAAGTTCTACTTGAAAAAATTATGCTTCAGGACATACAAAGAAAGACCTCGTATTTGACAGAGCTGAGCAGGCTGATGCTGAGGAGCAGCAGAAGCAGGATGGTCTATAAGGGGAAGTGAGCTAAGAGACAGCAAGATGGGCAGAGGCAGTGGCCTCGCCTACCAGAGGTAAGGCACCGCAGCACACGAGCAAGGCAGGTCCCGTGATAGTCACCAGGTTCAGCCAAGAGTCCAGATCATCAGACAAGACCAGGGTGATGAGGTAGGTATGAGACCAAGCAGGACCTTAAGTCAGTGGTCAGGACGTGGATCAGTGAGGAACACAGCCAGCCACAGGCACAGCCGCAGCCTCGCTCAGCAAGTGGGCAATGGCCTCAGTGTAAACGTAGCTCCCCAAAGAAGGGAGGGAGCAGCTGTTGAGGCTTCTTGCCTCTTTCTCAGACCGCTTCAAAGCTGGTCAGAGCTTCTC